AAACAAACAACACACACACACACACACACACACACACACACACACACACACACACACACACACACACACACACACACACACACACACACACACACACACACACACATACAGACACACACACATACATACAGATGTACGGACATCATCGTAAAAATAGTCAGGGAAGCTTCCTGTGACTTTCAAACAACGAGATTTGATGAAAACTCGATTTTTGTAAAACGGGGTGATAACAATAACTTCCCGATTTTTGAAAATCTGAGATTTTTAGCGGGAAGTTAAATACCGAAAAAAGTGTTTTTTCGGGATTACTCCGAAATTTTTGTTTCGATCCATATAAACCTGAAAATAACTTATGAGGATGATAAAACTGCCTCGAATGCCGCCAACCACGTGAAAATTCGTTGATCCATTCAAAAGTTATTGCGGTTTGAAAATTCCAAAAATAGTGTTCTATGAAACTTCTATCAGACTTTTGAGCTGGGAGAGCTCAAATGCATAGAAATATTATTTCTTTGAACTCAGTCAGCTCAAAATATCACATAAATTATATTTTGAGCTCAAAAATCTTTAAAATGTCATAAGTACAATTTGATGCGCCCAGGAATGGAATTAGCGGGAAGTTGCAGGGATGGCCTTTAGGGTGAACCGTTTTTCTAATTTTTTCACTTTAAACTTCAGCATTAGTTAAACCAAAAACACATTTATCCCTAGCGTCTTCTCTAAACTTTCCATCTATTAAGAGCTGATCCCTATGATTACTGCTTTTGATTGCTTGTCTAAATAAAGAAGATTTTCGAAAAAAACGCTCAGCTACGTAATAGATTTTTTAATTATCTATTATATAGCTGAGTGTTTTTTTCGAAATTCTTATTTGTTTAAGAGAAACAACCAGAACTGCAATTAGCTTTATCATCACGAGTGCAACAAGGATAATAGCGTTTCTCGCCGTGAGTGCAACGCGAAAAAAAGATGGGATAGGCATTTAAATATAATTTACTTATAAAAATTGGAATGTAATCAAATAATTTAAATTGCTTATTGTCAATTTCTATATAAAATTTGAGATCATATTGTAAAATTCATTCTATATCTGTTGGGATGTTAATTTCTGATAAGTTCATTATCTATTTTTTATTGATTGATTCATCAGTATTATTAATATTGTTACTGTTTATTTCTTTGAAAAATTCTAGAAATTAATTATTTTTACTATTGTAGCTAATTTTATGATAATTATGATTCGAAATTTCTACCTTAAATTTTTTTAAAGTAAAGTTATCAACTTGATTTTTAAATTATCTAAATAACGAGGATAACGAACAATAAGTTCAAGTGCTAATGTATTATTAGAATGAGTTTGTTTTAACTTTTGTATTATATTTTCTGCAGCATGCATGTCAGATCTATCAGATAGTAAATACTTACTTAGGTTCACAATGAGCTATCCGGAAATCAAAATTTATTCTCGTCACAAACATATCTGCTTCCAGTCTTATTTCGTGAACACTTGGAGGTGGTAGAGCGATCGCTAATCCAACCATGCCCATCAAAGTTGGTGTTGATTTTCTCGTTGGATGAAAGGGATATTGCGGCCTTAAGCGACACAATAATAATACTACCTACAACATAAAGAACAAATATCTATTGAAGCGATTTCATGAAATCGAAAATGTAAGTAATTCACGTATAAAGCCAATGTCAAGTTTATAAGGATAAACAATAATTTATATAAAAATATAACCCGTATTACTATTAATATCGTATTTTGACACGTCTTTTTTCGCCGTTCTACTACAAATTTACGGTACTCTTCAGTCCATACTCTTCTTACTTGTTTTATAGATAAGCAATTCAT